TAACGCGTCTGCTACACACAAAAAAATAGCATAGGCATGCAAGGCGTGCAAGAGTTATTTTTTGTGTGTAAAGTATCGGAGATAGGAGCATTCATGGAGCTGTTTACAGTAATGATTTGGTTAATTTGACAAGATTTTATGATTGCAATGTACAGCAAGAAAGAAACTGGGAATTTAAGATGTACATGCGATGTTACATCGGTCATGGTAAGATAGCTAAATAGTAAGCCATAAAATGTTTGACTGAATAAACTACAGTAATCTGACNGCCAGGGCTCCAACCCGGACCGCTCGATCCGGAGACGAGCGCACTAACCATGAGGCCACCGCGCCTCCCACAAGGACTGTTTCTTAGGATTGTTTTATAATTGTTAAATAAAGGAAATGGGAATACAATATACAGTATTTCTTAAAGAGTCTACAGTCTGCATTTTATCCTCTGTGTGCATTTTAACAACAGTTGTGAAGTAGACAGGCTTTCAGTCTTATTTAAGTAATTAAGCTTAAATAATTAAGCTTAAGTTCTTGTTTGTGAAAGTTCTCATTTCCATCATTGTGGGTAGTATTTCTGTGTGCTAGGCCTGTTGTAGAATATGAGCCGAGCACGAGATCGCAGATATTTCATACTCAAATGGACTGATAATTTCTACTGCTGATTCTTCAAAATTATCTTCAATTACAATGTTTTCCTATACATACAAGCTATTCTGTGACCAAGTTACACGTTTCTTTAGGTTACCGATCACGTAAAACATAGGCACGCAAGGCGTGCAAGAGTTATTTTTTTTGGAAGTGTCGGAGATAGGAGCATTCATGGAGCTGTTTACAGTAATGATTTGGCTAATTTGACAAGTTTTTTTGGTTGCGATGTACAGCAAGAAAGAAACTGGGAATTTAAGATGTACATGCGATGTTACATCGGTCATGGTAAGATAGCTAAATAGTAAGCCATAAAATGTTTGACTGAAGAAACTACAGTAATCTGACACGTCTCCAGATTAATGTAGATATCACCTTATTGTCTTACAAGCAATTTGATCCGTTCTTTGATACAACCCACACTGTGATTGGTGTGACACTCGCACATGCACAACTCCCTCACTCAGCGATCACATAGCCCTTCCAACCCCCAAGAGGAAGTTCTGTGCAAAATACTCAAGTTAAATAACAGACATTTTCGCATTTTATACGACTCGAAAGTTTACCCTTTTTACACAACACAACACTACTTCACCGAAAATTGAAAGAAAGAGAAAACTAGAGAGACAATCTCAGATAGTGCAGACTGCAATTGATAGCTCTGGCACGGTACTCCCATAGGTAGTCACCCCTGCTCGGTTCAGTTCCGGTTTGTATCTACCTTGGTAGTCTGCTAGGGCTTTTCCCCTTAGCAGTGAGTACGTTTCAAGGCTGTATTTTCATTTAAGGTCCGAAGATTAGGTACAATTACTGTTTGTCACGACGGCTTTTAAATTTTACTCTGGTGTCTTACGATGATTTTTGTTCATTTAAATTCAATAATACTCTGAACAAATGTGACAATTTAGCTCTTCGCGCCAAGTTTGTAACTTGATACTTTTGTTTTCCTCGCAAAGGTATGTAACATGTTTTCTCCAAAACACACGGAAGATGAGCTTGTTTTGGGGATAAACGAGAGAAAGTTAAATATCTGACGAAGAAATGGAAGAGAAACAATTTGGTTTTTTCCGCAAAATGCAAATTTTCTTCTCACAGTTGAACAAGAACGAATTTAATTATCAGATAGTCACGGAATACCACTTTCTTTTTCTGTTGCCTCTTTTGTTGTTAACAACAAAAAACAATGAGGATTATACTAGGGCCGCGAAGCGGCCTGAAGTTATAATTCAAGCTATACGAAAAGATGAAGTGAGAAATATATCGGACAACAAATGGAACGAATTTCCCGGTTAGTGCTTCAAACCACTTTTTAACGCCATCAGAACGTTGAACCCCCAAAAAAGCCAATAAAAGGAGCCTGGGCATACCCACAAGGCCCTGGGACCTAGATCGCGTCGTCCCATGATGCTTCGGTGGCTGTTTGACGCCATGGAATAGACAAGGAAAAGGGAGACACCATAGAAGGGAGGAAAGAAGGGTGGGAAGCTCATATATTTCTCACTTCATCTGTTCATATAATTTGAATTATAACTTCAGGCCGCTTCACGGCCCTAGTATAATTCTCATTATATTTCACAGACTCCGTTCGAANCTAAGAGCAATAAAACAGCCATGGTTCCACATAACAAAACTTTTAAATTATATGTATATTATAGATAAATCAACGCTCAACAGGAGAATAGCTGAGTTTACAAGTAGATCTACTTTAAGGATAAGAACCCTGTAGCAAAGTCTGAAGTAAACAATGGTTAATAGTAAAATGTTCTGAAAATTGAAGCAGAAGACCAGTCGGCCATTCACATGATAGTCGAGAGCGGGACAAATGCATTAGCAGTTACTGTCGTAGATGCACCACGCACAACGTGAGCTTTAAAAATTTGACTATTCCTGCTGCACTCATAAAGGTTCGTAGCTAACGCCCCAACGATGTAGAAGTGACCAGTTTGTGGGGGCGTTTAAATGAAATAAACAACTTATCGGGAAGATAAGACGGGATAACGCGTCGAACGTTCCTGGATGATTTTAGCCTGTTTAACTTGCTAGGTTTCGCAATTTCATACTTTTAGCAACGAGCACCCGGCGACAACAGTCTAGAATTTTGTTGGCCTTTTTTGCCGGGAGTGATATCATCATGCACATTGAGTCGATTTGGAAATCCGGTGAGGTTATCATTGTGTTGGAATCAGTAATTATTTCTTGAGGTTTATTTTAAAACCTGGGGACTGAAGGAGAGTCACTACCAGCTGAGTATTTTTGACAGCTACCTCCATTGTAACAGCCAAAAGAAGAAAGTCGTCCGGGTAAATAAGGACTCGAAT